CCCGCGCTCCCTGGAGGCCCGCGAGGCCGTGTCCAGAGCCCGAGCTGCGGCCGGGGCGCCCACGAGGGACTGGGGTGGGGGGCGCGGGGGGGGGTTGGGGGAGGGCCCCGCGGGGGGACTTGGGGGGGCGCCGCGAGGGGCCGGGCCCGGACGTCCAGCTCCTCTTCCCGTCGCTCCCCTGGCCCCGGGGGACGCCTGGGTCCAGCCCGGCGGGGCCCCCTTCTCTCCCAGCGCAGGTTTTCTCCATCCACTGGGCCTTGTTTTATGATTTCTCGGCGCAAAGACGCGGCCCGCCTGCCCCGGCGTTGCTGTAGACCCGCGTGGAACCGTGTTGGGATTATTCTCAGCGTGGCGTTCAGTGAAGGGACAATACGTGACTTCCGTGGGTCAGGCTGCAGCTGCAGCAGCTCCCTGGGCCGCAGGCATTGCCTGTCATTGTCCTCCTCTGGGGAGGAAGAAACTGAGCCTGCCCCTCCCTCGCCCCTGGCAGGGCCTGCTCTAGCCAGTGCCAACACTGCCCCCAGAGAGCCGCCGCCCAGGCGCCCAGGCTGCCGAGACCCGGACTTGTGTGTGGGGAGCCCCGAACCCACCCCAGGAAAGTCAGTCCAGATGGGGCACAGGCCTCACAAGGGTGTCCACCACCGTCTTAGCCAGGGCAGTGCGAAGCCAGAAGCTCCCAAATGCCCACAGAGACACCTAAGAAAAGTGATAGCAGCTAAGCCTGGAAAACATAACCGACTCCTCTCTCACACCCGCAGCCAACCTGAGAGCAAAGTTTCCAGCTTGACCTCCAAGATATAGGCGCCAGGATGGGGGTTACCAGTGGAAAGGAAGCCACAGATAGTGGCCAGGAGGTGGGGGAAAGGCAGTGGGATCCTAGTAAAATGCTATTTTTTTTTTTATCTGATTGGTGGTTGCATGGGTGCTAAAGCTTTGTGAATATGGATCAAGCTAAAAACTAATAGGATTTGTATTGTCCTTTACGTTTGTTTTATTTCAATAGACATTTGTTTTTTAACGATGCTATAGTTTATTATCAGAGAGAGACACCTGTATGTAAGACAAACTTGAAAATGTAGGTTGCTTTCCAACAAGCTCTATGACAATTTGAGAAGAAAGCATGGTCTTTTCAACAAAATGGGGCTGGGAAATTGGATAGCCACTTGCAAAAAACGAGTTTGGATCCCTAATTCATAGTATATATGGAAATGAATCCAAAATGGATCAAAATCTAAATGTAAAGGCTAAAATATCAAATTCTCAGGAGTGAACAAACTCTTAATTGAGACCCTCTGTGACCTTGCATAAGGCAGTGATTTCTCAGATATGACACCTAAAGTATGAGCTATCAAAGAAAAAATAAATAAATCGAACTATATCAAAATTATAAACTTTTGTGCTTCAAAGAACACTATCAAGAAAGGGAAAAGCAACCATTAATGGGAGAAAATGTTAACAAACCATCTTCAGAATATACAAAGGATTCCTAAAACTCAACAGTAAAAAGACCAATGCAATTTGTAAAATGAGCAAAGGATTGCATAGACATTACTCCAAGGAAGATGAACAGGTGGACAGTAAACAGATGAAAAGTTCTCAATATCATTAGTCATTAGGGAAATGCAAATCAAAACCACAATGAGGTAGCTCTTCACACCCACAAAGGCGGTTATAATAAAAAAAAAAAATAGGGAATGGCAAGTATTGACAAGCATGTGGAGAAGTTGGAACCCTCATGAATCACTGTAAAATGGAGACACACCTCGCTGTATCCTCAAGACAACTAAAAACATGTGCACACAAAAACTTGTGCACAGATCATACAGTGATATTCATCATAGCCAATGTGGAAATAGCCCAATACCTAACCGCTGATGTGTGGATAACAAATTGTAGTATTTTCATCCAATGGAATATTATTCAGCCATGAAAAGGAATGAACGACTCCCCATGTTCGTGCACATTTGAGATGGTCAGATTTTTAATGTTTGCCATTCTAATGGCATTAGTGCTGTCTGCTCTGGTTTTCACTTGGATTTCCCTAATGACCAGTGCTAATGAGCACCTTGTCATGAACTTGTATGTCATCCTTACATCTCTTTGTGAAGTTGTTCAAGTTCATTGCTCGAGCTTTGGTTGGATTTATTTTCTTAATGACTTGTAGGCATTTGCGTGTTCACTTGGGCCCATGTGCATCTCCTATGCTCTCTCACCATGTGGTTTGCATTGACACTCTCTTAATGGGCTCTTTTGATGAAGAGAAGCTGCCGACTTCAAAATATTCAACTGTATCAGTCTTTTCTTCCACAGCCAGGGTCATGCCTTTATTGCTCTTTACTGTCACTTCTGCATCAATTTCACAGGCCCGGGCCATCCCTGGTGGTCTAAGGGTTAAGTCTCAGGGCTATCTCCACTATGACCTGAGTTTGATCCCCAACCAGGGAGCTACCCACATGGCACAGCAGACCTCTCCTAACTCGCTCACTGCTTCCCTTAGCAGTGGATTTCAGTAGATCCACCTGTTCTGCTGCCCACTCTGTCTCTGGTGAGCCCTCTCACCCCCTCCCCACCTCCTGCAGCCTACACCCCAGTCCTTCCACAAAAAAATAAATAAATAGAATCTTAAAAAGCAAAAAATTCACAGGCAACCTGGAGGCCAGAGCTAAGTTAACACATGTGAGCAGTTAGGACAGTGCCGGAGCACCGTAAGAACCATACTGGTGGCTCTTGTGCCTGTTTGCCTTTCTTGTTCCCAAATTCTATAAACACACTGAGAGGTGAGTTTTGTGTCTGGTGTGAGGCAGGAGACCCAGTGATCCCCCCACATATGCACACCCTGTTTACCTACTGGCCTTATTTATTATTCCAAGCTCCCTGCAGCGCCGCTGCTGATAGGAAGACTCACTACGTATGTTAAGGGCTGTTTAGCTCAAGGAGAAGACCATGAATCGTGCATGAGTCCCTTAAATGCAGGGCAGCATCTCACTCATCTCCATGGGCATTGCCCTTGCCCCCGCCCCAAGGCCCTGCATGCTGTGCAGAGCAGGTGGGAAGTCCCCCTCCCCTACTTCCCCTGCAGGGTCCTGTCCTGCCACTTCCCAGTTTCCTCCATCCCTCTGTGAGACGCCAGGGCTGGCGTGAGCTCCTCTCTGTGCCTTCGAGCCTCCCACCAGCAGCAGCGACCACAGCAGAGTGTGTGCTTCCTCTTCTGAATAGGGGGATGCTCTTTGGAAACCCCCAGACACACAGGGGTGTCTGGCCTGTGTAGGGGTGGGGGCTCTTGTTGGACCAGAGTGCCCAGAAGACGCTGTGCTTGGCCACCTGCCAGGTGGTGGCTTCCCTCTGCAGCCCAGAGCTCTGTGAGGCAGAGGACAGGCGAGGTCCCTTCCCGGGACAGGGTGGGGCGCATCTGTCCTCACCTGGGACTGGACAGCGAGGAGGGACACAGAGGGGCTCTGGGAGTCAGGAAGGGAGTGTGGACATCAGGGTCTTCGTGTCCCTTCTAGAATTCAAAACCAAAGCATGTCTTTCCTCCTTGGGCCTGGCAGTGGCCTCCCAGAGTGAGGTGCCCCCCGAGACCCCCAGGATGTGCCGCGCTCCCCTTCTGATCTATTGCATCATTCCCAGCCTTGCTTACCACACAGCATCGGCACCACTTTCTGTTCCTCAAACAGGCCTGGTGGCCTTTGTCCTCGCAGGGCTAATTAAGATGCTCCAAGAGCACACGGCAGCCATTTGCCAAGCTGAGAACTGTGACCCCCCTCGCCACACCACAGGTGCCTGTCATGCTTGGGTCTCCAGGACTGACATATCCTCCTTTGATGAATTCAACAAGAATTGATCAACCTCGGATGATCAGTTCCTTCCACCAGTTGGAGCAGATGCAAACTCTGGCCTTGTCATTCTTGCTTTACCACAGCTGGGTATGAGTGCCTCAGCCTCTCAGAAATCTCGCAGGTTCTCCATACTGTAGGACTTTAACATTGGGCCACAGGCAGAGAGCGCCGCGGGTTCCCCTGCAGTTGTACCGAGACACAAGCAGGGGGAGCCCTGAGGGGTGGGCCTCCTTCCTACATTGCAGGCTGGGGGACATCTGGCCCTTGCTGGACTCAGCCTCAGGACGGTCAGCCGTGGTCTGCATGAGGATTCCAGGCTAAAGCGGGGCCAGGGGCCGGGGGTGGAATCTAACTTTACTGATGTATTCAAATAACGTAGCAACACAACAATATGAATTTTTAAAATCCAGCTTCACAGCAAAACATGGATCATGTTTATTCACAAAGATGTCGAATAAAAGAAGCAAGACACCCACACACACAATTAGACCGCGTGCTCCTGTCACATGAAATTCAAATATGAGTAAAAATGAAGCTCTGTGGTTTCAGATTCTATTCACCAGGTGGTAAATTTACAAAGAGAAGCCAGGAAGTCCACCCCCCCACCCCACCGCGGCCCCAACAGAATGAGAACTATTTTCACTGTCCCTAGGGAGCAGGACGGAGTCGGAGATGGAAAGAGGGTCCATTTTTTTGTCTGGCCCAGTGAACCTCATCATCGCCCAGAGGTTTGACTTTCTTGGTACACTCTGTGGTGTGTTGGATGCAGCAGCTTCCCCTGGAGAAAATCCCCAAATGGATTTGTGGGATTTTCACCACCCTTCAATGTTGGGTCCCCCTCTGTGTTCCCCCAGCTCTGTGTTCCAAGCCTGGCTCCCCAACTGTTAATGGGCTGTGAACAGCGCGTGGAACCTTGCTCATTGTGTGAGATAATGAATGCGAAGGAGCTAACATCTGCATGCCAGAGGTTGTCCAGGCTGAGGTTAGGCTGGATGAAATCCTTCTGCCTGGCCCGGGCCTGTGGGGCAGCCTGGGGCTGCCTGTGATCTGGACTCAGTAGACCACCCTTCGCCAGCCAATGGGCAGCGGCGACAGGACCAAGTCACACAACTCATTTCCTGTTTTCTAACGGGAACCTGGCGAAGTGCAGTCCCCGCCTCTCTGAACTTCAGTCTCCCTGATGGCAATTCTGACTGAAGGAACAGAGCGCTGAAGGGGGCAGGCGACGCTCCTCGGGGACCCCCGGACACAAGCAGGCCCAGAGCCCTCAGGTCAGTGTTGGATCCCAAGCGCGGCAGGCCACTGCCTACCTGTGGCCCGCGCCCCCTCTTGCCACCCTCCCTCAGTTCCTGTTGGGGGCAGGCCGGGACCGAGAAGGGCTGGTGACAAACTACGTGTGGGACTCTCCTTAGTATGAGGGGCAGAGCAGCTTCCCGACCCTCCATCACCTCAGCTTCATTTGGAACTCCAGATGCTTCCAGAGCCCTTCTCAGGGAAAAAGTCATCGCTCCGTGTTTCTCTAAAAATGGTGCCAGGGAACCCCCGGTGTCAGCCTACCACTGGGGGACTTGTGCACAAGACAGAATCCGGGGCCACCCCCTAGACCCACCAGATGAGACTCTTTGGTGTCGGGAGCCAGGAAATCTGCTTAACTAGCCTTTGCAGTTAAGGTCACCAAGGCCCGGAGCAGGATGGAGTGCATGGATACGCCAGATGCAGCTCCCTCCCCTCCCCGCTAAATGGGTGACTTCCAATCAGTCCCGTAAATGAAAAAGGGGAATTGGTTTACTTGCAAATGAAAAACCTGTAACTGGGTTCGTGCTCAGCTTTCCCAGGCCTTTACTGAATGTCCAGCCAAGGTCATTCCTGGGTGTCTCAGGGTCTCTGGGCAAACAGTGCCCAACTTCTGACCTGGCACAGGGTGCCTATCAGGACAGCAGAGTTGAAGACTGGGACATGTGGGCCAGTGCCCTTTGCCATCACCCATGTCACAGACGAGCAAACCAAGGAGGTGCTTGGGGCTCCCAAGAATCTCTGCCACCCTCAGATAAGAGTGTGGAAGCCACATTTTCTCTGGCCTGGGCACACTCCAGGGCACAGAGAACCCGTCCCTAGCCATCCATCATCTTGTCTTGTGGCCACACTTCTCAGATAGGAGGTGGAGGCCTGGGGAGAATAAATATTGCTCACAGTTGGTCAAAAGGCCTGACTCCTCAAGGGGAGACAAAATAAATGAGATGTAAAGGCTAAAGTGCAGCCAGGCCCTGGCTCTGTGCTTCACTTTCACATCTGTAGAAGGTAAAGTCATTGAGAGTTTCTGAGGGTCCCTGTGGATACGCACAGAGGTGCCTGGAGAGGGCCCGGGGGTCTGTTCACCTGAGACAGCAAGAGCTGCCCCCAAGCATGGGCTCCTGGCCCCCATGACCAGACCTCTCTCCAGCAGGCAGACTTAGGAGGCCTGTACTCCTGGAGTGGGTGGCCTGTGTGGCACCACCCAGGGGCAGCAGCACTGGGATGCTTCAAGCAGCAGTGGCCACCCAGGGCTCTCGGCAGTCAGGAAAGGGGTTCAGCCCAGGGCCTGGCGTCTGACAGACCCAGCTCCTCCCTGTGCTCTCCCTGTCGCTCCCTCAGGTCCTGTGAAGGAGGGGAGCTCAGTGCACCCTTCTGCTTTTGAATTGTTGTGTGTAAGTGATGCCCCAGCTCCCCACTCCATCTGAACTCGTGTTTCAATTTCTCTTTTTATTAATTTGTTTCAGACATTTTTAACTCTATTCCAACTTGCACCTTCAATCGGTGCCATTTATTTCTCAAGTATTTCCCAAAGCACCCATCACGCATCAGGTGTCAGTAACGGGGGCTGGATACAGGCTGGTCTGTGCAGGGCCCCTGAGCGAGAACTTCACCTGCTCTGCCTGACTCAACCCTCACACCAGCCCCAAGAAGGGGGATCTGCCTTAGAGGAAACTGAGGCACAGAGAAGTTAAGTCACTTGCCAGGCCTCAGCTTACCACACTTACCCAGGCCACACAGTCACTGCACACTCTGAACTCCAGGCGCCTGCTGCTGCCTGCTCCACTCCCCCAGGCGGGTGGGCAGGACCAGCCTGCCCTGTGTCCTACCTGCCACACACCAGCTCCCCATCGTGGGCAACCCTGAGTGCCAGTTTCTTTACCATCAAAGGAGAGAAAAGCCCCTACGACGTCCAGGGTGAGAGCAGAAGCGAGAGAGTGGCGGTCAAATGTGTGACCCTAGGCCAAACCTCAGTTTCCTCATCTGTGATTGGGAATCATGATAGAGCTTGTGGGTGTTAAACAAGATAGTGAGTTTGAGGAACCGAAGGTATATGAAGTAGGTACAAGTCACCAGTAAGTGTTTGATTCAAGACGAAGACAGAGCTGGGAAAAGCATGAACGTGCCCGCTTTGAACACGTGCTGTCTGGGTACATTTCACTCACGCAAAATATAAAATACGCATGTAGTATAGAATAGTGTATTGGGACACTCTTCTGGACAAGCCAACATCTTCTTCCCAATAATCACTAAAGCCATTGCATTTGTTTTGAAGTCACCTTATTTATAATTCAGAGCAACTTGAAGACATCAGGATCGTAGCAACAAGAGAAGCAGCTGCTGGGCTTAGGAGGGACCAGCCAGAGGAGAAGCAGCCCCGGGCCAAGCAGCTGGCAGCTGGGCGGACGGCTAGGCAGGCAGTGGAGGGTGCAGCAGCAGAGGCTATGACACAGATGCTAGGTACCCCAGGACCCACCAGAAACCCCAAGATGATAGGGCACCCACTGATCTATATTGTCCCTCCAGCAGCCTTGGAGCATGGCGAGTCCTGAGCACCCTGGGAGCCCTGGATGGAGAGGACCCATCACCCAGCACGCGACAGGGACCATGCAGGGAGCCTCAGCCACTGGCCTGGACCCCCCACCTCCAGGATCTGAAGGACACTTAGGTGGGCCTGGGCTCGGGGCTTGGTCCGGAGGTAGAGGTAGAAGACATCTGAAATGCAAATGTGAACACGTCCATGGGTGGCACGAGAGCAGGACAGCTCTCCTACGCTGGGTTATCATAAGTAGACACCAAGGCAAGGATTGGGCGCAAGTCATTTCTCTGCGAGATGATCATAGGAGGCAGGCAGGGGCATGGGGAAGCAGGAGAGGAAGGACAGGAAGCCAATCTAGGGGTGGAAGGACAGATTCCTATTGCAGACAACTGGGTCCTGGTCCCAAGGGGGATCCTCTGGGATGCCTCGTGTTGTCCCTTCCCAGAGACAAAGAGGCCAGGCTGTTGCCCACCCATCTCAATGTTCGTGGGCTGCGGGCTGCTGCAGAACATGCAGCTACATGGCTGGAGAAACCCTGAAGGCAGGAGCCGGAGGGGGCGCTTCCTTTGAAGCCAATATTTGAATGGGATCTTGCAGAAAAGCAAGTGCTGAGGGGCCTGGGCGCTCTGACAGCACCTGCTGGAGCGCCGTCTCCTGGCGCAAAGCTCTGCTCATGGGCCCATGCCTGCAGTGCGTGAGGATGCCCTGGCGGAAGCCGGCTCTGCCTGGCCGCTGCAGGCTCCTGGGGAATCAGGGTCAAAGCAGACACTGTGCTGTTGCTCCAGTTTGGTAGGGAAACGGATCTGTGAAAAAACAATTTGAGATACCATGAAAATAGCTATAGGGACGGAGTAGGCGGCTCTGGCGGTCTCGCCAAGGGGCAGCTGAAGAGACGTGGAGGCTGGGTCTTGCAGGACAGACATGTTGGACAAAGGTTCCTGGGACCACATCCTTTGAAAAAAAGGTACAATGATCTGTGAGTGGAGGGGTACACCTCATCTTGCCCAGGGCTCTCCGAATGGCCCAGGGCTCCAGCGAGGATGAAGAAACTCTGTTCATGTTCCGGGTCAGGCTAGAGGAGGGCTGCGGTGGTGGCCGGAGGAGCGTCATGTGCACGAAAAGCATAGACTGTGGAAGCCGACCTGCGAGGCTTAGAGGAGGGGCTGCCAGGCTGAGCTGGGAGCCCCAGCCACACGCATGGATCAGCACCCCAGGCAGCATGTCCACACCCAGGCCAGCACCTGCCTGTTAGGAGCCTCGCAGTGGCCGATCTGCAGGCCAGAGTGGACGAGGCAGCTCCAATGCATGCATTTTACCCCCAGGCAACCGCGTGGGGAGGGCTGCTGTGGGTCATCGTGGTAGGGTGGACTCAGCCACTTGTTCAGGGGGGTCCAGCAAGGCCGACTGGCCTCTAGATGGCAGGATGGGGGAGGGGCGTGCAAGAATTTTCTGACCCTGTCATCTCCCCAGAGTGCACTGCCCCCAAAGTGCACAGCCCCGGCCCGTCCTTATGGGTGCTGTCCTTGCAGACACCCCCAGCTCCAACTCCAGCATGACCACGCGCGAGCTGCAGGAGCACTGGCGGCGGGAGAAGTGCCGCTGGAAGCCGGTCAAGCTGCTGTTTGAGGTCGCCTCAGCCCGCATCGAGGAGAGGAGAGTCTCCAAGTTCGTGGTAAGTGGAGGTCAGGAAATGAGAAGACATTTCACCCCTCTCTAGGGTGTAGGCCAGCCTGCTGGGACCTCAGTCTCCCCAGGAGTGAAATGGGTGGACACAGGGCGCAGGAGAAAACTGTCAAAAAGCAAGGTTTCGCGGCCCGCACGGCGCTGGGGGCTGTGAGGAGCAAAATGCGGGCCACAATCCCGACCCTGAGAAAAAGTCCTGCTTGACCCCACGCTGCCCCATAGGCGTCCCCTGTGACCTCCCTTTGCCATTTCCGCCATGTCCTCGACATTTCTGTTATCATCAACCTAATTTTTTTCTTTCAATTGGATCATTTTTTAAAAACACGAAGTCTATCTAGGGGAATATTTGAATGGGAAGCTGCATCACGCGGCGTAAGGAGAAGGTAATTCTAAATACAAGGAAAGCTAAGCCTGTTAATGGAATCCCGGGTCACACTGCGGCTGGCGAGAGCTCTGTGCTTGGAGCTACCCAGTTGCAGCCGTGTGAGGAGCGGTGGGGGTGACCCTGGAGAGCCACTCCACCTTCTCGCCTCCATCACTGAGATGGGACCAGGCAGCAGCAGCCCCAAGGCTGCCCCGCGCTGCGGTGTCAGTGTCCGGTGCTGATCCCTGCTGGTTTTCTTTTTCTTTTTTTAAATTTTATTTATTTTTACATCATTTTTCATTTTTGCACAATGTATGCATTTTCCTCTTGGTTCGTGCTGGTTTTCACACATGGGGAAATGGCAGCTCAGAGAGGTTCAACGACCTACCCAAGACACACAGCTGCACCATGCCGGGCGGGACACACCGCCTGGCAGTCTGTGCCCTGAATTAGCATTCCCTCAAAAGTGAATTGAAAACAGTGCTTTTCCTACTCTGCAACCCAAAGCATCTCCCCACCTCCCCACATTTGGAAAACACAAGTCTCACCCAAGACTCCGGGAAACTGGGGTCCAGCTCCGAGGCTGCAAAGCCAAGAGCCATGGGCCTCCCCTGCAAGCCCCTTCCTGGGCACTCCCGCCCCGGGGAGCCTCCTTGTCCCTGTGCCTGTTACTCCAGCTTCGCCCTTGTCACCCTCCGCCTTTGTAGCTCAGCCTGTGCCCACGGCAGTTGCAGCCAGAACTGCATATAATGATAACCCGTTTTCAGGGAATGCTTGAAATCAGGATCATTATTTTTATTCGCCAGGCTCTCCTGACAGTTAAACCCCTTTTAGCACGCAGTCAAAGGCGCTGTCTCTCCCCCCCGCAGATGTACCAGATCGTCGTGGTGCAGACGGGGAGTTTTGACAGCAACAAGGCCGTCCTGGAACGGCGCTACTCGGACTTCGAGAAGCTCCAGAAGAGCCTCCTCAAGACGTTCAGGGAAGAGATCGAGGACATCGCCTTCCCCAAGAAGCACCTGCTGGGGAACTTCTCGGAGGAGATGATGTTTGAGCGCAGGCTGGCCTTCCAGGAGTACCTGCGCCTGCTCTACTCCGTGCGCTGTGTGCGCCGGTCACGCGAGTTCCTCGACTTCCTCACGCGGCCCGAGCTGCGCGAGGCCTTCGGCTGCCTGCGCGCCGGCCGCTACGCCGAGGCGCTGGGCATCCTGGTGCGCGTGGTGCCCCTGCAGGAGAAGCTGACGGCGCACTGCCCCGCGGTGCGCGTGCCGGCCCTGTGCGCCGTGCTGCTATGCCACCGCGACCTGGAGCACCCACGCGAGGCCTTCGCGGCCGGGGAGCGGGCGCTGCAGCACCTGCAGGCCCGGGAGAGCCACCTCTACTACGTGCCCCTGCTGGACGCCATGATCCGCCTGGCCTACGCGCTGGGCAAGGACTTTGTGTCCCTGCAGGAGCGGCTGGAGGAGAGCCAGCTCCAGAGGCCCACCCTGCGGGCCTTCACCCTGAAGGAGCTCACCGTCAGGGAGTACCTGTATTGAGGGCGCCGCCCGGCTCTTGGGCATGCGGGGTCACTCTGCTGGGTGGGCCAGCCCGGGTTCATTTTCAGTGGGAAGAACCATTGCTGGTTCTGACTTGCAGGGGCACTTTGGACAAGGCCGGGCTGTTGTCTTCTGCGCCCCACTGGGTTGAATAGAGGTGCTCCCTGCATCCTTGGAAGCTTCTGCTTGTGTCCCATGTCCCCTTGGCATCAGAGTGCTTCAGCTCAAAGCCACAAACCCAGCTGGGGCGGCGGGGAGGGCAATGCCCACGGCCCTGGTGGCAGCTGGAGGAGAGGTCCGCATGGCACGGCACAGGCAAAGGCGACTCATTTCTGTGCAGACGGCTCTGTCCGCCGTCCTGAGCTCTTCTCTCCGCTCCTCCACCTCAGTGCCGCTTGCAAATACTGCCACCCAGATCCCAGCTCTTCCCTTTTAGCGTGAAGACCCAACTCCACAAAACAGAAGCTCACCTGCTGCCCCTCATGCACAGCCTTGCCCCCGGCGGTGCGTGCAGCAGGGAGGGGTGGGAGCAGACTGGGCCGTCAGATTCTGTGACACACATTTCAGTGGGAAAAGTTGCTGGCAATTTCTCTGGTTAGGATGACATAATCCCCGCTCAGGGGGTAGATATTTATTTACAAGCCACTGTCCCTCAAGTGGCCTCCCTCAGTTGTACAGGCACAGCCCATGAGGGGCGCGGGAAAAGACACCGATGGGGTGGAAAAGAGACCAGTTGTTCAAAACCTCCCCATTTGAGGGACAGTGTTCTTGGAGACTGCCTGGCGGTTGGGATGCCCTTGACAGAAGCCTGCTGTCAGGACAGGACACCCAGGGCCGGAGTGAAGGGGAGGCTGGGCCAGTCTGAGGTCAACACAGGGCCTGGAGCTGAGAGTCCCGGCTAGTCCTGGCCCCTAATATGTTGGAGGCTGGAAGCCCCAAATTACCTGACTGAGCCTCAAAGGCTAACGAGACTGGAACTAGGAAACATGACTATGAGGCAACACTTGATTCTGTATAGGGATCTGGCTTGGCGGGGAGGAGCATCCACTACCCAGAGGCAGACACCGCGCAGCAGCCCTTGCGGCCCAGGCTCCCTCCCAGGATCCTTCCCAGGCTCCGGCCCGGGGTCACCAGTGACTGATCCTCGGGACAAAGAGAGTCTCAGTTTGCTCCAGAAAGACACGTCAAGTGGGAGATGCTGGACTCCTTGGAATCCGGGCATATGGAAAGCTTAGGTGTTAAATGGAAAAATAAAAGAGCCGTGAGTCTATTTCTGTAAAGATCATACTGACTTTACAAGTTGTTTCATCAAATGTAAATGCTGTCAACTCTAATCTGCACCAAACCGTCACTAAGAAAGAAAAAAATCCCAACATAGTAATAGGAGATTCTGGCAAAAAAAAAAAAAAAAAAAAAGCCCAGGAGATCAGAGTTGGCCTCCCCATATAAGAGTCACATCGAGGAACATCCTGCTCAGGAAAATGGGGAGACTTCCATGAACCAAATCTAGCATGGGGTGACGGGCAGGGAGTCTCCTCCTGGAATTTGAGGTACAGTCTGGTGCTCACCCAGATTTGGGGTCCAAATGCACAATGGCTTGGTCCAGAACACCTCCAGCAGCGAGGCTGCATTCAAGCGGCCTCAGCTGTGTTGTTCCAGGCCCCGGGGCTGCAGAGGTGGGTTTCCTCTGACAGATGCTGACAGTGGCTCAGCTACTAGACAGTGCAGGATGCCCCTGGGTGCACGGAGGCTCCGACGTGGGACGCTGCGCATCTTCAAATCACACACGGATGGTGCGAGTGTGTGATGACTAGAGAGGGCAAAGAAAACCCTAGATGGAGGGGCAGGGACCTATGCAACCATGGGGGGAGTTCCCTATCAGCACCCCCTGCATGCCTGGAACCCTGAAAGGGGGCAGGCCCCGATCTCTCTCCAAAGTGGCAACCTGACTGTGCCCACTGAGAGGAAGGGCCGCAGGGGCCGTTCCCATCACCACTACATGATTCATGCAAAATGAAGGCGCTGGGGAGCTTGCATTTAGGGTCCGACGGCCTTTCTGGTTCCAAGGGACAGAAAGCTGGGTTCGTTTGACAAGGGAGGAGTTGATTCTCTGAAAAGTCCGGAATAGACCAGTTTAACCACATTGGATCCAGAGACTCAAGCCTTGTCTTCCGGTTTCTCTTTTTCACTTTCACTTTCTCTTCCTTCTGCTTTCTTCTGCCCTGTCTTCCCTCTCTCCCTGTGGTGACAAGATGGCTGTGGCAGCGCCAGCTCACGTCCTTGGCAACCCAGAGGACTCTCCGCCAGGGTTCTTGTGAAGCCCTCATGCGTGGCTCATGTTGGAAACACCAAAATGTCCCCCCGGGGAGGCGCAGGCAAGGCAGCCCCCACCCCATAATGAAGCAACAGAAATAGCTCTTCACATAATGTTTGCAATCTGTTTTTTAAATTTATTTTTTTTCCTGCTTTTTAAATTTAATAGACTATTTTTTAGAGCAGATTAAGGTTCACAGGAAAATTGAGCAGAAGACACAGGGATTCACTCCGGATCCCTGACATTCACATGCACAGCTTCCCTCACAGTCAGTGTCCTCCACCAGAGGGGCACAGATGAGCGTCCACTGACACATCATCTGTCCACGCTTGACATTGGGGTTCACTTTTGGTGTTGCACATTCTATGGACCTGGGCAAAGGTAGACACCACTAGAGTATCATATCCAGCAGGATGAAAGCAAAGCATGGTTAGTTAGCGTATGGGCACATTTTATCTACATAATAGGAGCATCTCCCTAGAACGAACGGGTGTTTCTAACAGTTTCATTGTATTCTGATGTGAGTGGCATGGCTGTTTTGACCACCTTAACATGTTGCAAGTTTTCCTGATTGCAGGACACTGCAACAAGCCTCTTTTTCAACTGCACTCTGAGTGTGATTTCTAACAGTGCTGCTTCCGAATCATAAACACGACGGTGAATTCGATAACATGACTGATGTTCTCCCTCTCCAGAAAGGCTGTCCTAAGTCATTCCTGCACCAGCCGAGTACGAGAGAGCCTTCCTTAAGGCAGGATGTTAGTATTTTTAAACTACTTTCCAATGTGATAGATGAAAATGGGAGGCATGATTAAATGTTCATTTATTTATTCCTGGTGAGTATGAACATGTGTCATTGGCTGAGGCGCAAATGTCGCTATGAAAGTCCGCCAGCAGATGGCGGCCCCGCACCGGCGGCTCCGAGGCGTTACCGCCTGGGCTGCAGCTCGGGAAGGAAATTGGAGAGAAAAGGCGCATTTCTCCAGAAAGCAAAAAAAAGACTGAAAGTTCAAGCAGACTTGAAATAGCCCTAGAAGAAAGAGCTTCCTGGCAAAAACAGATGGCTCGCTGCCTCCTTAGCCGCCCCGTTCCTCAAGGTATGCTGGGGTCCCTTGGCGACCCCCACCTGAGGTTCAGGACCTCATTTCTTGGTTTCTGCTCCCCCATCCTCTTCACAGCCCAGAGGCCCCAAGGCGCAGAAGGAGGCCTCTCTGCTGTCGCCCCCTGCACCTCCTCAGGCAGATCAGAAGTCAAAGGAACTGCAACTGAACAAAACAGGGCATAGAAGTAAAAGACTGACTGTGTAACCAGCTGCAGAAACGTGTGGGTGGTTAAGTGGCGGCCCCTCAATATGCAGGAGAGGCCTTCCCTCCAATACAGGGCCATGCCTGCCCCCCACCCCCTTCGGGCCCTGCCACCCTTCTCCCCATGTTATAGGGCAGCCCCGATACAAAACGGGGTGCCTGACTGTGGGTCCTCACCTGCGCACTTAAAAGGACATATCAATGCTCCACTGCAGGCGCACGCGAAAGGTTCATAAAAGGTTTCTTTACAAGGGAAGGGCAAGTGAGGAAATGTACAGCTCAGGGAGCAAAGTGGGAGACAAAGTTTTAAATACGTCCTACCCGATCTGCCGATCTGGAATCCCAAATAGCGCTCTGAGAGCTGGCCGCGAGCCAGGAGCCGTGAAGCCAGGAGGCGAGCAACAGAGCGAGAGAGCCCCCAAGGCCCACGTGTTGGGTTTTTATACCCAACCTGGCTGCCTAACTCCACCCTCCGGTCCCAGCCACCTTCCCTTTGGTGGTGACAGGATTCGTCTTTCCCAATGTCCTGATGGCTTCGGTCTGGAGTAGGGGTGGAGTCCACAAAGCCTGCATGGGATTAGCGCAAGACATTCTTTCCCCCTAACACCCAGACTCCACCTGTGACCTTTCCAGGACTAGGGTGCTGCTGGGAGTGTCCCTCCCATCTGCCTCCTGAATTGGAGGGGGGCCCACACATCTTGACTTCTTTTTCCCAGTGGATACCCAGGATCTGTCCAGAGACTGCTGCTTAACTGCAGGTTGAAGAAGTTGATGCAAGGAAGGAAGAGGGAGAGAGAGAGTGAGTGGGAAGAAAAAAAAATCAACCATGCTTGTTAGAGTACAAATTGGTACAACCACTAAGGAAAACCATTTGGCACCGTCTCCCCAAGCTGAGCATAAACCGCGCTGTGAGGATCAGCCCCTGCCCTCCGGAATAAATCCTCTCTGTAGACAGTTGGGGAGCATGTTCACGAGCAGACGAGCTGGAACTGGAGAGCAGGACGACTCCCAATAATATCCCCCAACTGGAAACAACTCAAATATCCATCAACAGTAAAACAGACATGCAAATTGCGGCATATTCCTATGTGGGATTATACGGCCACAAAACAAACTCACTTCTACGCAGCGAAGTGCTTGACTCCCATAAGCTGAATTGAGTGAAAGAAGCCAGGCGCTGGAGAGTTCAGCCTGCGTGATCCCACTGAGGGAAGTTCAAGATGAGTGACTCACCATCGCATTTCAAGATGCTTACTTAGATGGCAGAACTCCTGAAAGAATAAAAAAGCAGTGAGGGTCGCTCTGAGGGTTGAGAGAGAGGCCGTTACTTCTAATGCCAAGAGGGGGCTTTGATGGGGGCAGTGAGGACCTCCAAGGCGCAGGGAGGTCT